CCCCAAAACCCCAAAACCCCAAAACCCCGTGTTTTAGCAGTTTGCCAATTTAATTAAAAATATCTATTAAAAAAATACTTGAAAAGTCAAATTGATAGATTGAATTATAATTAAAATACATTTTAATGGGAAATAATTTGAAGGCTCGTAAAAGACTATATTTAGACTATCAAAGTGGAGTTGAGGAGAATTAAGAAAGATACTCTAGAATAGAAAAATGAAGAATATTGCTTTTTGGCCCATCAAGTAATTATAATGACTGACTATATTTTCATTGCTATAGAGTCAGGAAAAACTCAATTGATGAATCTTCTAACAGATTAGGAATTTGATAGCGAGTATAGACAGACTTAAAGAGTACAGCTAGGTTTGAAGCTATTAAACTTTAAGGAAGGGAAAAAGAACCCAATATCTTTCAGGTATGTGGATTGCCCAGGATAATACTTGCATTATATGAAGGCAAGCATGTACGCTTTCTAAAAGCCTGATATAATCTTGATATTAATGGACGGTAGCTTGAAGTTGGAGGAGTAGTAGATTAGAAATTGGGTTTTTACTACAATGCAGCAAGTTTACTAGCACCATAGATACAGATCTAATGCCCCTCAATTAATGGAAATAAATAATTAAGATGAGCAATTACTAGAACATACACCTAATTTGAGAGGAGAACGACGTAGGAGCAGTGCAAAAAGCGCTAATAGAATGAGCAACAATACTGGACAATTTAATCCTATGAATGGAGGAGGCAGTGGTATGAATCAAAACAATGACGTTAATCATAAAAGCTCTGGTGTCATCGATAACAATGAGCAATCCCTTAGAGGAATGAGTAATGTTGACTAGTCTCACTCTCCTTTGACAAAATAAGCAGCCTTTGTAGATGATTAACCTGGATTCATGCCTGAAATAGTGCATGTGTTCACCAAGAGGGACTTGATTGGCTATGATGGCTACTAAAAATAGCTTAAAGTCATAGAGGAACTCTAGCATGAGGGAATCATTGACCAATTTTTCTTTGTCTCATCTCTCTCTAAGTATGGAATTAACGACCTTAAGAAGTACCTAGTTGAATTCCAATTGCAAACTCAATTTGTAGAATAATCTTTTAAGTGAGGACTAATTTTAGAAATTATTTATTAAAATCTGTACCTTTAATAATTTTAATAGTAAACTTAATAATTAAATTAATTAAAAAAATGCAAGCAGCCAAAAAAAGAATCTCAAGAATCACACCTTAAAATACTATCTTTTTCGAATGTGATATATAAGAGAAAATGAGAACTTTAATAAGAAACTTTGATACAGTGTCTCATAATGCTTAGAGACTTGGCAAGATGGCAAGTCTTTTCGGCATTCCTTTGATATCTACTGCTTAGACTGCAAAAGTTTTTGGTCCTACTATCAAAGAACTAAATGATGTCTACGCTACTTTTCCAGAAACAAATAAGCCAGCTTAGTTTGAAAAAATTACATTCTCTATGATTGATGAACAGGTTAGGAAACATTTCTCATAGTTCGAGAAAAGTTCAGTAGTCTTATATGGAGTTGAAGCTCACATTTGTGTCAAGCAAACTTGCCTTGATTTGTTAGATATGGGATATGATGTGCATTTGGTTATTGATTCTGTGAGTTCTATGAGTTATCACGATAGAACTGTAGGAATTGAGAGTCTGAGAGATGCTGGTGCCTATATTACTACTTTCCAGAGTTTGGCTTTTGAATTAGCTAGAAGTCCAGAGGTTCAAGTATATAAGGACTTGCTAAAGTTGATTAAGGATATGCCAAAAGAACATCTATCCCTTTATCACGATCAACAGTAAGCAAGTAAATTGTGATCAATCTTTAACAAGTCACATATATTATAAAGAAATGAATTCTAATCATTATTGATGCTTGTGAATTGATTTCTTGGGGTTTTGGGGTTTTGGGGTTTTGGGG